ATATATATATATATATATATATACTGTATATGTAGCTTTACGCACACGCGACCCGCTGTGACATAATGACGACGCACGGTGTCGACGCAGGCGTACAGCGCGCCGACGATATACACCTGTTTACGTCGGCACAGCTTGCCCCCGAGGCTCTCACGCGACGACGCTCGATTCAAAACAGTAAATAACGTGTAAAACGAGGCACTTAGTTGTGCTGAGGAGCAGTAATTAGCTGGCGCAGCCACCTGCCGGCGAGTAAATCACGAGCATTGGCGCGCGCGTTAACAGCCCAGCGTCGCATATATCACGCTGGCGACGGTCAGCGGTCGCAGGTAAATTTGCGAAATTCTAAAGCGTAAAACAACGCCGGTGACAGCGATGGCTGTTTTAAATCAGAGCGCGACGTCACATAAATATGCAAAACTGTCCGATAGTTATTTTTTGCTCTATGCACGCGCGCGTTTTTGTCCCGAGCACGCCTAGATGCTAATGGCAGTAAATATAGCGGACAAGCCATTAGCGAGAATGTTTGACATCAGGTTCTGTGGTTCAAGGTCATGTATATACATAGGAGGGGTGAAAACGGTGAGTACTACATGACGACGAGCAAAGAAGAAGAGCACAGAGGAAATGAAGACGGGGGAAGAAGGTGACACGGGAAACGAAGAGGAAAATGGAAGAGATAGTAGAAGAAGAAGAAGAAGAAGAAGACAAAGAAGAAGAAGATGACGACGAAAAATAAAAGGCAGAAAAAAAGAATAATAGAAAGGGATAAAAGAAAGAAGACGAAGAAGAAAGAAGAATTTGAAAACATGAATAGGGCGAAAATGAAGAAGAAGAAGAAAAAGAAGAAGAAGAAGAAGAAGAAGAAGAAGAAGAAGAAGAAGAAGAAGAGGCGGAGGGAGATGAAGGAGTAGTAGTAGTAGTAGAAGAAGAAGAAGAAGAAGAAGAAGAAGAAGAAGAAGAAGAAGAAAAATAAGGAGAAGAAGAAGAAGATTATCAACGTCAATATAAACTTAGAAAAAATGAAAAGAGGTACGAGATGTTGAGAAAGGACTAAAATTAGGAGAGTATGGGAGAATGGGAGTACAACGAGGAGCAGAAGGTTAAAACGAAGGATAAAGTGAAAATTAGGGGAGTAAAGGAGAAATAGAACAAGACAGAGAAGTCGGTAGAGACTGATGACGGCACGGAGATGACCAAGGATAAAGGGAAGAAGGAGTATAAATACGTTACAATTTGTAAAAATTCAGTAAATTTATCTGTACACACTAGTTATTCAATTCGCAAGTTGGTTTTCGCTTTTTGATGCTTTTTTCTGAAGGGGTATATCATTAATACATGAAGATACAAAATATAAATTAGTTATAATTTTCTGAATCCATATTCATAATTATGTGCACGGTGTTTAACTTGGTAATGCTTGTGCGCTACTGGGGTTGTTTTTGCACTACGGATCGGTGTATAGCAAACTATATGCTTAGGTTCGGCGCACAGCTTTGCCACTGTATGAGTGCGCCCTCTCACGGAAAATGAGCGAACTACGATGGAAAGCGGCGAGCGGGTCCATGAGCCGAACGTACGTACGTATAGTGTAGCGTACGGGTTGTGTGCGTGTGTGTGACTGCACGTGAGTACATACTGCGTGCTTGTGCGTGCACGCGCGCGTGTGTAAGTACATACGTGCGTGCACGCGCACGTGTGTAAGTACATACGTGCGTGCTTGTGCGTGCACGCGCACGTGTGTAAGTACGTACCGTGCGCCGCCTTGTGCGTGCACGCGCGCGTGTGTAGAGTATATTACGTGCGTGCACGCGCGCGTTGTGTAAGTATATACGTGCGTGCTCGTGCGTTCACGCGCGCGTGTGTAAGTATATACGTGCGTGCTCGTGCGTTCACGCGTGCGTGTGTAAGTATATACGTGCGTGTTCGTGCTTTCACGCGCGCGTGTGTATGTACACACGTGCTGTGTTTGTCCGTGCGCGTGTGCGCTGATGCGTGCATGGGCAGGTGAGGAGGGAGGGAGGGGTGCGTTCGTTCTGCGAGAGCAGGCCGAGAGCTCGGTATAAGCGGACAGTCCTCTCGTCTTACATCTACGCGAGAGATCTGCGCGCGCAAAAGTAATGGCGATTTTATTGGACTCGCACCGACGCCCGGGTCGGCCGTGAGGGGTCGCCCGGGTCGCGCACGCGGCCGTGTGAAACCACGCGCGCTCACACGTTCTCTCCCACCACGCGTGCTCGCCGCTCCAAGCGAACGCGATCCGCTGACGTGGGCCCCCGGCGTACCGTGTGTCTCTATCGCTACTACTACTACTGCTACTGCTTCAAGGCTCGCTGTCGCGCGCGCGGGGTGGGGGGGGAGGGAGGAGAGAGACAGTGGTTTACCGCCACCGAACGCGATACTCATGAGAACTGTTACCACGGGCTATCGCTGTTATCATTTAGCGCACCCGGGGTCACAACACGCCACGCGTCACTCGTCACTCCCGGCAACCGCCGTCGCTGTCACTCACCCTCACCGGCTACGCCCACCGACGAATCGCCGCGGCGGACGGCGAACACCGCGCGCCGTGATTCGCCGCGGACGCGCTCTTTAGCCACGCCCACGCGGTCAGGCGCGCTGGCAGTGTGCCGGAATGTATCACTGCACCTGTGGACAAAGGAATGCGTAGCGGCGAGCCGTGATTGGTCGACGCCGGCGTGGGAACGGGCCCCGAGCACGAGACACGCTTTATTTTGTTTTCACGGTTCGTGGCCAGCGATAAAGCGATGCGGGCAGATAGCAGGGTCGCGTGCTGATTGGTCGCCACTTCGTGGGAATGATTGTCTAGCTGCCTTCACACGAGCTGGTCGCCTGGCGCACCTGCTGCTGGTCCGGTATAAATGCCTGCACGCGGGCATTCCGACAGAGTTTACACGCACGCACCGTAGCAGCAACAGCAACGCGCTCTTGTGATTTCGGATAACTACCAGTCAGTCAGTGAACGAGAGAGAGAGAGACAGATTTGTCAACATGCCCGCTGTAAAGGAAAATGCCGCTGGAAGTGGGATCCCTACCGAACGTCAGCAACACCGCAGGGTATGTACAACTATTGGAATAGCAGCGACTGTACGGCTCTATACTATAGCTGCAGCAGTAGCAACGTGCCGACGGACTTTGTTACTGCTAATGAATCGTAAATTGCATACATGCGCAGAGTAGGCACTTGTTCTGTTTATTGCGTTTTGCATAATCGAGTGTATGATGATAATTCGTGAACGGATAAATTCCGTGTCAAGAGTAGCTTGAGTTTTCTTCGAGTTACAAGCGTTTTGTTAACGTTTGTTATTATTTATGTAATGTGTTAAATAATAATAATGTTTTGAATAAATATGTAGTAGATAGAGTAGTCATATATATTCGTCTATCAGTTTTACTAACGGGTTCGTTTCTCGTTTTTAGGTGTTTAAGCCGATCATAGAGAAGCGTCGACGAGACAGAATCAATTGCTGTCTAGAAGAGCTAAAGAAACTAGTGCTGGAAGGAATGAACAAAGATGTAAGTACAAACCACAATCGCTCGCTTCTCGTCCTCCTGTAGCATCTCCCACCAGGCTCCCCTCCCCCCACTCGCACACGGACGCTGTCATAAACACGCCCGACCAGTTTTTTTCGTTTTCTTAGCGATAAGTCAGCGGTCGCTTTTTTCTTTCGCTCGGGACACCTGTGGCAGGCGTCGTACCTGCCGCGTACGTAGAACAATGCCGCAAGACAATCAGCGCGGGGGAACTAACGAGCTGAGCCTTAAGCACGTTGTCCTAATCGCGCGTGCTATTCTTTCTCTCTCGCAGACGACGCGTCATTCCAAGCTGGAGAAAGCCGACATACTCGAGATGACCGTCAAGTATCTGAAGTCGGTGCAGATGCAGCATCACGCGCTGGCGACGAGCGAGTTTATGCACAAGTACCGCGCCGGATACACGGAGTGCGCCACCAGCGTCGGACAGTACATGGGAGCGCTGTCGCCCGCGGCGGCCGAGGGCCCGGAGATGTCCGTACGGGAGCGTCTTATGCAGCACCTACAGGGCAAGATGCAGGCGAACCAGCCCGCCCGACAGGAGGCGCAACAGTCGAACATCAAGCGCGAGCGGTCGAGTCCCCCGCAGCAACAGCAGCAGCAGAACGCCCCCGAACAGCGATTGTCGCCACAGACGTCGTCGGCGCAGGAACCAATGTGCTACATTCCCGTTGGACTTAAGCTGGTGCCGACGCGTCTGCCAAGCGGCGACGTCGCCTACGTCGTTCCCGGCAGTCAGTTCATGTCGCAGCAGCAGCTGCTGGAATCGATGAAGATGGCCGGTCAGCACGACGTGACGTCACTGAGCCCGGCCGGAAGTCCGCTCTTGAAGGAGATGTGGCGGCCGTGGTAGATGCCGCCGACGCGCACATGCATGCAGTGTTGTTTTTCTAGTTAAACCGCTAGGTATTCCTTACGTTGTTTTGTTGTTATTCAAAGAGAGAAAGATATATATAAAGTGTGTTTCAGTAATCTAGTGCGCATATATATTGTGTAGGTTTTTCTGGTTGCATTTCTGCGTATAACAACGGGCAACATTATATGGCCTTCTGCAATAGACGCAGCAAAGTACGTTTTCGTTGAGAGAAACGCCAGCCGCATTTAGAGACGCTTGTATAAACTCATTCATTCGATTCATGATCTTGTATTTTCGAAGCATTATTCGCATAATAGATAGTACGGTATCATTTGTAACTAGCGCATAGTCGAACGTGTATATTAAACTTTGTAAACATTGTAAATACGCGAGAGCGATGAGAGTACGAGCACGTATTCTATATGATTAAAACGATATTTTTTACAAATCTAAATACGCTGTATGTTGTTATCACGTTCACTTCGCTATTGTCTTCTTCCGTTCACATTTCCTACACTGCGATTCTCCAACCTACCGCATAGAAATGTACGCGTGGATGATTCAAACCGTCTAATACAATCTTGCGAACGCGACTATAAGCGAGCTGACAGCTACGTCATCACATGTGCGAACAGACAGACACACACTTACATGAACTCGTTACACGCATTAACGCGGCAGTAAAGCTATAGCTGTCTCCCCCACACGTGCGGGAACGGTTGAAACCCCAGACCAACCATCGAGAAATAGCCGCAGAGAACACGCATTCAGGCGCTTATGCTGTGACACTATATAAACAAACGACGAGGCAGAAGCAATACGGCTGTCAGAGTCTGTGTGACGCCGCTGTGAATATGTGGTATTGGTTTGCATTGCCGAGATTAGTGGGTCTTTCATACTAGTGGTCTGTAGGTAGGAATGGCTAAGCTCTGATAATGCTGGTGGTAGGGATAACTCGTATCTGATGATGCTCGGGGCGGGAATAACTGATGTATGATGATGATGGTGGTGGGAACAACTGATCTCTGATGACGCTGGTGTAGGAATAACTGATGTATGATGATGCTGGGGTGGGAATAGCTCTAGAACTATTGCCCTTCGCTCTGCCACAGACCTGTGACAGAGCAAAGGGCTATAGTTCTAGAGCTAGGGTGGGTCTAGCTCGTCTCTGTTGATGCTAAACTGGGGGTAGCTGGGGTGGGATATAACTGGACGCCGCTGTCGGTGGTGGCGGTGATGCATCTCTGCACGTGTCCTCCGATGAGACAGTTAAGCTGCGCCCATATCCCGTTACAGCTCAGCTGACACACATAACAACCGTGAGAGCCGCACGACCTACCGACTCGCTTCGGCGAAACGTACACGCCGCTCGCTAGATGGCGCTTCGCACGGCCAGCTCGCTGACGTACGGGTCGCCGTTACGATTAGTGCGACCACATTGGGGTCAGGACGCGTGTTCCCGTGGGGCCGGCGGGAGACAAAGACGAGCCAGGGCACGCGCCAGGACCGGTCGCCGAGCTAGTGGCGATAACGGAACTCGGCACAACTCTGCACAAAAGGCCGCAGCGGAGCGACGAGCCATTGTTGCGCGTGGTCCGGCATTGTCCGGCTCGCACCATCGTTCTAAACTCGTCTCCCCGTGCGCCGAGGTGTGGATGGGGGAAGAGTTAACGTCATTACCGCGCCATCTATGAAGAGAAGCGTGAACTTCGATCCGAACATTTGTGTACTACGTGGCGACGTGTTGCGCAGCGCGTGGTATTTCCGCGAGTTCCAGGGTGAGGGGGCGTACATGAGTCATGGCGACCGAAAGAGAGTGAGAGAGAGAGAGATGGATATACGTGAGAAGAGTGAGAGAGCGCGATCGGGTGACAGAAAGAAACAAAGAGTGAGAGAAAAATATATATATACATCAAGAGTACAGAATAGAGATGTACTCTATTATGTATTCGATCTTGATATACATACCTATTATCAGGAGTTAATAAAGACAAATTTTTCTTTATTAACTCCTGATATTATTATATATAAGAATATGTATAAGAAGACCGCTCACAGAACAGGTTGAGCATGAATAATACACGTGCGCGCTTCTAAAAACTATTTTGACGTTTTGGTGTTAATGGCTAACGCTAGCCGTCATCGCTAGCCGTTAACGCATCGCTAGCCGTCGCCAAAACACAGCCAGACAGACGCAATTAATTCTCCATCTAAATCTTGCAATTAGAATCGCGTTCTTCCTTTCCCATCACCTATTACGACCCGTTAGGCAACAATGTGTTAACGCGGACACCAGACGCACTGCCTGTCAGGCAGATGTGCTGCGAAAAAAACACGGCGACCCCTGGTGGTCGTGTGACCAGACGCGCACGTGTGCAGAGATGGCCGAGTGATGATTTTTTCACTGTGTGCGCGCGTGTAAGTAAATAGGTTCTACAATCGCTTACAGATGGGCACGGGCAGCGTGGGATAGTCAAACAAAAGTGCTGTCTCCCGCGCTCTATTCGATGCGGGCTTATCGTGCCTGCGATAAGTAAGTCAAACGAATATTTGATTTCGGTATAAATAGTCGAAGGCGGACGAATGAAGAATGACAAAACGATAACGGCTCGCGTCCCCGTACAGATAGGCAGATAAGTGGAATTAGCTACCGCTCGCTCGCTCGATCGTCCACGCAGCAAGCACGCGCACGTGTACACGTGCGTGCAGCGTACGTACGCATGCATAACGACCACGCCAGTGCTCGCATTTTACCGTGCCAAGCAATTTTAATACCAGGAGATATATTTCTTGTTTATCATGTACTTATCTATCTATCTTTTGCACCTCTCTGTGTTCGTCTTATTCGCCCCCCTCTCTCTCTCTGTCTGTTAGCCCCCAATCTGACTGCCTATCTGCGTGTGCGTGCGCGCGTATGTGTCTCTGTCTCGCGCTCTCTCTCTCTCTGTCTCTCCAAGAGTAGATAATATAACTCTTGTTAATATATATAAGATTGATAATATAATATAGATGTTATTATCTACTCTTGGTCTCTCTCAATCTCTCTCGCGCTCTCTCACTCTATCTCGTTTTCACTCTTTTCCTCACTCTTTCGGTATAGCTGCCTGTATTTCGCTTTCTTTTTTTCTCTCTCGCTCTCTTCCCCCCCCCCTCTCTCTCTCTCTGTCACACACACGCGCGCCGATCCCCTCTCTCTTTCTCTTACTCGCACGCTCCACCCTTCCTCCACTACTCACCCTTGCACTGTCGTAATCACTGATTTGGTCGTGTGAATCTTGCGCATTATTAACTTTATATTACATATGCATTACGTAAGCGGACCCGCGGGTGCCTGGACCGCATATGTGGTTTTTGCGCCCGCTGTGTTCGTGCGCGTGGGTGCTTGTGTGTGCGTGCATGCTTGTGTGTGTATGTATGTGTTTGTGTGTGCGTGCGCGTGTGTGTGCGCAAGTGTATACGTATGTGTGTGCGCGCGCGTGTGTGTAGCATCGCTATGATGATTCATGTTGCGGGCCATGGGGCGAGGATAAGCTGGTCTCACGGTATGCGCTAGGGCCGTGGGAAAGCCAAACATACGCACGTTCGCGGCAGGTGCGCATCGCGCGCGAGAGCCAGCCCTGTGATTTGCGCGAGTGTGTGCACGAGCGTTCGGGTGGGTGTCTGTGTTTGCGTGTGAGCGTGCGTATGTGTGTGTGTGTGTGTGTGTTTGTGTGTGAGAGCGTATGTGTGTGCGTGCGTGTGTGTGTGTGTGTGTGCGTGCGCGTGTGTGCGTGCGTGCGCGTGTATGTGTGTGCGTGCGTGCCTGCTTGCCTGCCTGTACTCGCGGCTTGCTGGGGCTCAGACCGCGTGTGACACGTCCTATTACAGCCGCCTGTGAACTCGGTAAACACAGATGTTTCGGACTATCTGGCCGCGCACACACGCTCGCGCGGAGTATTAAATAGCTGCTGCGTGCGGCTGCTGCGGTGGCGATGACTAGTAACTACACGTTGACATGCGCGTCGGCGGCAGACGTTTGCTATTAAGCAGCAGCAGCAGCGACTCGTGCGAGTGACGTACGCGGTGTGAACGCTGTTAGACGTGACTCAATCTAGCAGTCGCCGCTGTTGATCTTGGGAGCTGGTCTCAAGGTCGTCGCTGTGTGTTATTGGGCGATGCGGAGGCTGCGTCGGTCGCCTAACAACGTCGGGAAGATGCTGGAGATCTTTGGCGTTGGCCGCGACAGATGCCGCCGGAGGGGGGAGGGGGAGGACTGGAAGCCCCGCCTATGAAAGGCCTCCTCCTTACAAAAATCATAGCGGATCTTTAAGACAGTGTTTTTCTCGGGGAAATTAATGACGAGAAATTTGAAGGAACGCGTGAATGTCCTTCCGCGCTGATGCCTGTCATGTCTACTATGCTAACGATCTCCACATTTGTTCCCATTTAATTATTTACATGGTGTCGTTAATGCCGACGCGTTTTCGACTTGTAAAGAAATCCGCAACTGTGCGAAAACGACCGACGGTTATGCACGACTCAATTATATATAATACGGTGAATATAGCATGTGATTAGCAGATTTTCATATTTCCCTCCAAGAGTTGCCGCCCTACCCCCCCTCCTCCTCCGGGCGCTAGCTACCTCGCCGATGGTTTTTGCCGTAGAATAATGCAAACATCGTGATTAGCCAAATCGTCGACGTCGGCTTAAACAAATGCAGGGCGTGTGCCAGATTCGCCCGGGCACCTGCTGGCGGCACACTGCAGCTGCATGAGTGGCGCACGCCGCCGGCGCCGCGGGGCGAAATATCACCGATTTAATATTCACAGTTTACGGCGTTGCTTTCGCGTGTTTCGAGAGATTCCTCGCTCGTGTTGCTGACAGCTGTGTCATACACGTGAATGCGCCCAACTGCAGGGTCTTTGCTCGCACCGTGTATACGCCGCCCCGACGCATTCTCCTTCCAGCCCTACAAGCGCAAAGGGTTAACAGTTTTGAAGATCATTAATTAGTTATCGTCGGCTTTGTGACGAATTTAAACGTGTGATTGACACTCAAGGGGCAATTTGGCGCAGGTTTTCGCTGCAGCAGCGCGAGACGGGTCGCAGCAGCGTGCATTTTCCTGCCGGACGAGGTGGCCAGGGTGAGAGAGCGCGCGGCGGGACGCTGCGTGTGTGAATGCGCAAACGTTGCAAGCTTCGACACTCACTCGATGCGACAATCGTGTCTGATGTTCACAGGTTGCTGCGGTGTGTGGGCTCCCGCGCGCGGCCGAGCCAGCTGCAGCACGCTGCGGCGTTGCCACCTTCTGCCGCAGCGACGATGCGCTGGAAGAACTACAATCATCGACTAATGATTGTGTTTCGCGCTCTTCTCACTCTTCACACGTCACGCGGCTAGGTGTCAGGTTTCGACTCCCGCAGTAGCAGTACCGGCAACAGCACATGGGGCAGAGGGCAGAGGGCGGCGGCC